CAGTAACCTTCGGAGGTCCCTCGACATGAAGCTCCTTAAATCGCTTCTTTCTGTCTGAGTCGGTTCAGGTCGGATGTAAGCATATTGTACGTACAAGATGAGGGATTTGATATGGTGCACAGTTTGCCAAAGAGGACTGTTCTGCAGATGGGAGGGTGTGGCTTTCGTGACTACTAGGCTGATGTGGCCCTTAGGTTCGGTGCAGTTTCCTTCTCTTGTGAAATTACGGAGCGCAGGATGAAGGACCACGCCAGTGTGTGAAACGTAAATTTGTAAATTGACACATGAGGGCCCCGCGATGCCATGGCAGGGTGAAACGCTGGTAAGGGGACTAAGGTCGAGGGCATGAAAGGGATTGATGCTTGAGGGCGGCGCCTCGTCAGATGGCCTGTGCATGCACAAAAGGCACGATGCATTCCTTAACAGTGCTCTTTCTACCGTCGTTTGGTGGCAGATTTACTGTTGCTTCTCTTACAACGACGAATGAAGGTACTCCTAGCTTTCCCTAGGGGTATTACAGCATTCGAATTGTCGGACGGACATGTTTCTCACCAATCATTGCTTTCTATAAAACATCAGGCATCAGGAACATCGTGAACTCTCCTGGAATGGTATTCATGTTTTCCCTCAAACTTTCAAACCATCTGCTCTTAGAGCAACCCCACCGCGCACATCTATTTGATCAATAGAATTTCTGCTCACGATTTTCAACCCCACCGCGCAATTCTATCGCTTTCCGAAATCGAATAGAACCATTTCGGAATCTATCCGGGCCCCGATAGATCCCAAAAACGTTCTATCCGATGAATAGATTCCCCGATAGAATGACACGTGCCAAGCGTGTCAACCAAATTCCAGCCAAATGTGCCTCCTACTTGCGAGAAGGCGAGCCGAAACTCCTCGGCAGGCGTGTCGCGCGCTTCATTCAGGCATGCAAATCAGCCTTTCATGTCCTCTAGCAGCGTGGGAGAGGCACATCATCAACAACCACCTGTCACAGTATACTACGAATAGCGAAGCGCGCGAACTCGATCATGCCGTCCCAACCGAGAACCTCCGCGCTGCTTCGTCGCTGCAGCATGCACTTCGGCGACGCGTGACCCGTGCATGCTCGCGACAATGATTTCATCATCCCCATGGCTGTCGTCTGTGTACTGAAGGACGGTTCTGAGGACTTCCATCGGGTTCATTGGCGATGATGCCGTGTGGGAGCGCGTAGTTGGACAGTACCGGAGGGAGGGCGCGCGGCGAACAGGGACAGAGGGCACGGGCTGCGGAAGACAGACATGCAGCCGTGCGGGATTCACGGCGAGGGGTGGGCGTCTCGATGAACGATCGCCTCTTCGCAGACGATGTGTGACGTCTCGCCGCTGTCCGCACGAGCATTCAGCGATAGAGTTGCAAATATGCGTTGGGGTTGACGCGAATAGAATCCACACGAATAGATTGACGATTCGCCACAAAAATCTATTCGTGCAACCGGCGAATAGTCAGCGTACACGTTTCATTTCTATCCGGCAATAGAATCGACGCGGTGGGGATGCTCTTACTGTAGCTGGGATGGTTGGGAATCGCGCAGTCCTGAATGCACCACGATCGCACCTTCCCTCACAGTGAAGGGTTTTCTTCGTCAAGGCAGTGTACTAGCCCATAATAAATCCGTAGCTGGAGAACGGTGTCATGCCGTCACTATTCCAAATACCCAGGTACCAACAATTGGAACTATGAGCAACAAGAGCAGCCACGGGTTTGCGCCCGACAATAAGTTGCGGCAATCGATTGTCTGTATCAGACGTTCCTGAATATAACAATCATGTTGCCTTGACTGTAGAACCAAACCGCGATAGTACGCAGGCGTTTGGGCATTATTGTAAATCATCATGACATCCCAGCTGCTTATCTCACAAAGCCCAAAGACATGGGATACCCTCTGAGCCCATGGCAAATCTATTATGGGACGTTAAGTGGCGTCTTGATCGGCTCGACAAATTCTGCGAACAAGCCTGTAGGTTGCAATCAATAACTACTGCATAAAGAAAGGTCACGTATTTTTGGATGTGCGTCGGTTTATTTGAATCGGGCTACCACTCTAGCACATATCGATATCCCTTGTTATCACGGTTTGACAACTTGTCCATGGCTTCATTGATCTGGCTAATGGGGACATGCTCTGTCTTCCACGCATCTGTATCTTTCATAAAGTCAATATTCTTCGCGACGAGGTCGAGCATGTCCTTCATTCGTCTTGTCCCAGTAACGACAGTCCCCACGATTTTCTTTTGTTGAAAGATAAGGCTACTGAAGTTGTACGAAAAAGTCTGCTGACTCATTGCGGGAATACCGATCTTCACGTAGGTCCCGTTGATTTTCAGCAAGGCCATATATTTGTCTATGTTACTCTCAACTGGAGTGGTGTCGAGGAGAACATCGAGGCAGCCCCCATGCGCATCAACTTGTGCTTGATCCGACATATTGACAAACTCAAACGCGCCGGCACCAAGAGCAGCTTCCTTCTTATGCGGGGATGTGGAGAATGCAGTGATGATGCATCCCCTTAACTTAGCGAGTTTGATAGCGGCAGTACCCAAGCCACCGACACCCGCTACTCCAACCTTAACGTTTGGCCCTGCGTAATCACATATTGGTTCGTAAACCGTACCTCCGCCGCAGAGCAAGGGGCAAGCAATCTCCGAGGGCACACCATCGGGAATCTTGATCGCAAAGCGCTCTTCAATCCTTTGGATCTTCGAAAAGCATCCTCCATTCTCATTGTAATGAAATTTGGAACTGCCCCACGCACCAGCAGAATCACCTAAGTATGTCCCCTGATAGCTATCTTCGCAGATATTCTCACGGCCCGCAAGACACGAATCACAGGCACGACAGGAATCGCGGATCCAGGTGATGGCGATGCGGTCATCCGGGCGGATGTTTCGGACTGCGGAGCCAACGCGGGTGACGTGGGCGACACCCTCATGGCCAGCAAGAAGCGGGTAATTTGAGATCCCCCAGTCGTTGTCACGCATATGAATGTCTGTGTGACAAAGGCCGATCATAACGACTTGTGCCTCCACTGTGGTAGCAGTGAAAGGAGGGAGGGTTACTTGTTTGAGCTCGAAGGGGGCGCCCTGGGGAAGTTGAGAGTAGATGGATAAAGTCAGTCAATACTGGAATAAGAAAGCGAGTGAAAGTGAGGATGGGGGTGCGTACATACTTTGGCGGGGCATACATAGCCCTCTGTGACAAGGGGGCCATCAGGATCGGGGGGTTGTGCAGACTGGCCGTTCAGAGTTGGTGGCATGGTTGTGGGGGTTGTGAAAAGTGAAGATGTTGAGCAGTGTGGGACGGGAGGGAGCGCGGGGGGAAGGGAGCGGGGGCAGCGCAATTCTATAGTACCGAGGGTATAGTAAAGTTTAATTGAAAATTAATTAATTGAGTGCTGGAAAGATGTTGCGACACAGCCGTACAGCGGGGAATTGTGGGTTTCCTGAAAAAAGTTGGAAGACATGAGGATGGATACGTATAGTACAGTACTCTAGGGTGGACGGGTGGTGGATGTGGCGGAACGGTTCAAAAAAAAGAAGGGCACAGGCCGGTACACGATTGTTGCACAGGCGTCTGAAGAAAGAGGGTCGGTCGCTTTGGCTTTGGGGCATTGCGGAGTGATGAGCCATTCATCATCATTGAAATGATACTTTGAGACATCAATACTGTAGATTTCGAAGAGATTTACGCCTATCAATGCTATCTATAGCACTGATAGGCGTTAATCTCAGCCCGATCTGCCTTGCACACTCTCTGCAACTCTCCTGCTGACCATTACTGTACATTACACTGCGTACAGAACAGCACGACCTTCAGACTGTAAGCTCGTGAGTTTCCCACTTACACGTGTCACAACTAGAACTCAGGTGTTCCCACCGCTCTCTTGCAACACAGCATCACTGCTCAGCGGATCGGCTTTTCGCACCCACTCCCCCCGCTCTCTATCTTTGCTCCCTTACCTCCCCTTTTCATCCACTGGTTTCAACCTGTAAGAGCTGTAACGCTCGGAAGCTTCCGCCATCGGATGCCACGCCTCGCAACTTGAGTTTTTTTTTTCAGCTCAGCAAACAACAGAAACTTGGTTCTACAAGCATGGACAGATGATGTTCAAATGGAAGAATGCCTCGTAAAGAGGCTTATGTCAAGGCAGTGCTTTACATTCAAAGTCTGGTTCAGCCAACGCTCTGCATCCAGTGGTACACATGGTAACCTGATACTGGCGTGGCATACACTATGCCAATACAGTATGTGGGTGAATACCGTACAAGATGTAAACCGGCTTGTCTACAGCACTCACACCCTTTCGAAGAGTGTGTTAAGCGAGAGAAGCTTCCGTGCAGTGCCTGCGAATCCTGCTATAGCCAAACAGAAGAGCCCCGGGTGGTATGCAGAGTAATAGGGCTCAAAGACGACTGGTCATGTTACAGGGCGTCGTCGCCTCTTGTTGAGATGGGTTTTCTGTAGCGCTGCTACCCTTCGAAGGGTACTGTACGCACACCAGTTAGTTATTCTGTACAGTTACCACCGTACACTGAACCCATCAGCGGAAGACCTATGCGTTGGAATTGAAACATTTTGTGTGCGGGGACGACGGGAGTGGAAGAGCGTCGGGACCGGCATGGCTGGCAGTGCACGAGGGACGGGTAGACGAGCAGCAAGATGACGAACAAGCGGAACAACGATGACGGGTGCGGTGTGAGGATCATGACAGAGAAAAGGTGACTTGGCGGATTTCGCTTGGCTTCAGAAGTTCAGTGCACTCCCGCTCTGTAAGGAAGGTGCGAAGCACGGTTGAAGGTCTCGCTGTGAAATTCCAACGGGGAATCGCATGATGTTACACGTGTACTGTATTGGCGTGCTGACAGCGATGAGATTCCACGAGATGTCGAAGATTGGGATGAGATTGAGTCTTGTGATTACTCTCATCAGAAATTTCCCTTTTATGCGGGCCACGGTGGCATTGCTGACGTGCGGAACCGACACGTCAGACGATGCCAGACATACCATTTCTTCATCTCGGTCGCGCCTACCCTACCCAAGGGTAATGGCAAGCACGCAAAAACAGACACCCCTCTTTTTTTTGGACTACCGCACACGATTATTGTTTTTACCTTGCATGCCTTCCTGTCGTGATCGTCAACTCCTAGCGACAGCTGCCCCCCTGGCACGCACAGTGCAGTATGGTGTCAGTGTCACGCTGGAGAGGCGCAGACTTCGCATGAAAGTTAGCGTGTCGAGGTAGGTTTTTTTTGTCAAGTTGGAAACAGTACCATTCCGGGCAACATTCTTGTTCAACGGCGACGGCGAGGTAGTGCCGTGCAGCCGACAGCGATAAAAAAGTTTCGAAAATTGTTGCAGGCCCTCCTGTGCAAAGAACCCACCTCCAGACATCTCCCTCGCAACTCGTGTGCAAGAAGGCGAATCAAAAGAGAACAGTCAAGAAAGAGTGGGTACAGACATCTGTACCGTTGCAACCCATTGTTCAGATAAAGGTTCAGTATTGAATTTATTTACATTTTAGAAATATTGCTATTGTTTTTTTTTTTTCTGGCAATCCACTGTTACTTATCCTCCATGCCACCCCCGAATGCAATGCCGTCTCCACATCCATTTCTATAAAGACCTCGGGGGGGTTACAAGAACACTTCTGCATTCACCCTCTTTCTTTGTCGCTCTGCGCCTTTCTTGACACCGTCGTCCGCCATGCCCACCATGAATGGTCACAGCAAGGCCGCCTTCGCGAATGCACCTGGTGTTACCTACGACGGGCAGCTCCGTGTTTTCCGTCTTCGATGCAAGGACTCATTGTACGCCTTTCGCGTCGATGATGCTCGCAATCTCGAGCATCTCTACTGGGGTCCGCCGCTCCCCACGGGCGACGATATTACATATCTTATCCGATCCCATGTCCCAACCCCCTTCGATCCTAGAGGCACCATCTCCATCGCCAAGATACTAGGCTTGGAGGAACTCGACACCATCGACAACGTCGAGGATCTCTCCGAGAAATGGAAAGTCTTCACCAAGCAGAAGAACGCAGATGGGGTCGAAGTCGGGAAGCGTGGCCGTCGTCTCGAGAACGCCTCATGGCGTCTCTGGAGTCGGGAGCGCAGTCGCGGTGGCGATCTTAACCGCGATCTATCCGAAGCCACCCTGGAACGTACTTTGAACGAGCTCTCGGAATCCGCTAGTGCCTCACAATCTGAGGAGGTGTCCGTTCATTTTCCAGATCGCCCTGTCACTCCACATGCTACCGCAAACGGACCAACACGTTCTGCTGGACCTATGGGACTTGGCATGCGTAGAGCAAAGGCCAGTGCTAGTATGGCTGACGTTTCTGCTGTTGCCCAAGCCCATGTCCAGGGTGCCAGATCCGGCATTTTTTCTCCACTAGAACACCATCGGTCGTCCCATGATATGGGTATGGCAGGTAAGAGTGGACCGGTGAGTCCACGTCTCAAGTACAATGCAGCCGGTCAAGTTTATAGCCCTGTTGCTGGCTCTTTTGGCGACCTTTCCATGGTTGAACAAGCCACCAACTGGGGTGCCCTTGACCCCGAGATCCTCGGCAAGAATACCAAGCTGCTCGAGTTTTCCGATGCTTGTACTGGTGACTACAGAGATGCTTCATTCAAGGTCGTCTTTTCGAAGGATGGCTCCTCAGTCTGTCCCATTCAATACAAAGGCTACAAGATTAAAGAAGGCAAAGTCCTCATGCCATCTCCGATGCCCGCGATGTACACAGATAGTGTCGAGGAAGCGACGACCTTGATCGTTGAAATGGAAGATATCCTCTCTGGTTTACGCTTTAACCTGCACTACACCGTTATGCATGACTACGACATTATCACTCGTCGAACTGTAATCGTGAATAACGGAAGTCATCCCGTCAATTTGGAACACCTGGTGTCGGGCACGTTTGACTTTGATGCTGAGACGAACTACTACATGACGGAGCTCGCTGGAGGATGGGCGCGAGAGCGAGCAGTGGTCACTCAGAAGCTGGAATACGGCGTCACGGTTGTCAAGTCTGCCCGAGGTGCGAGTTCGCACCAGTTTAACCCCTTCATTGTCGTTTCTCCGAACGAAGAACCGGCGGAGGATCACGGCGAGGTTTTCGGATTCGCGCTAGTGTACTCGGGTAATTTCAATGCCGTTACCGAGATTACAGAGTTTGGCCGTCTGCGAGTCAATATTGGCCTCAACCCTGAGAGCTTCAATTGGCATTTGGACAATCAAAAAGGAAACAACACGTTTTCAACTCCTGAGGTCATCATGACCTACAGCAATGAAGGGCTGGGAAAGATGTCAAGAATACTACACAGGGCGATCAGGGAACGTCTGATTCCGCGAAACTCGAGATACAAAATCCCCCCCGTACTTATCAACACATGGGAAGCAGCCTACTTCAATGTGAGCCATGAAATTGTCGTCGAAATTGCCCAAGCCGCTGTTAAAGCGGACATTGAACTGCTTGTTTTGGATGATGGATGGTTTGGGGTCCGGCAAAACACGCTGAGTGGGCTGGGAGATTGGTATCCGAACCCTGATAAGTTCCCATTTGGAATTGATGGTGTTGCCCGAGCCGTTAACGAAATCGGAATGAAGTTTGGCATCTGGATTGAACCAGAAATGGTTTCTCTAGAGAGCGATCTGTATCGTGCCCATCGTGATTGGTGCCTTTGCGTGCCCACGAGAAGTCGGACTACTGGACGGAATCAACTAGTACTCGACTTTTCCCGGAAAGTTGTGCGAGAGCACATCTATGACTTGTTACATAGCTTATTGAGCTCCGCCAATATTGAGTATGTGAAATGGGATATGAATCGTCACCTCACTGAAGTATTTTCGCAAGAATGGCATGCAGAGAGGCAGGGAGAAATAGCTCATCGATTCATTCTTGGCGTGTACGAGGTGTTGGGCCGACTGACAGAGGCGTTTCCAAAGGTGCTTTTCGAGACTTGCTCCGGGGGAGGAGGTCGATTCGATTGCGGGATGTTGTATTTTTCGCCACAGATCTGGACTTCAGATAACACGGATGCTCTATCACGTGTGTCGATTCAGTATGGTACATCACTTGTGTACCCAGCATCGACAATGGGCGCACATATTTCCACGGTACCGAATCATCAGACACTGCGGACGACGCCGATGAAAACTAGGGCAGTAGTTGCGATGTCCGGTACATTCGGTTACGAGTTGGATCCGCGAGAATTCAGTGAGGACGATATCTCAGAGGTGCAAAGGTATATTGAACTTCAGAAGCGAATTGCACCACTTGTGTATAAAGGGGACATGTATAGGTTGTGGTCGCCCTTCAAGTCAGACTCCGCTGCATGGATGTTTGTCTCGCGGGACAAGAAGCACGCGGCCGTAATGGCCGTGAGCATCAGACGTGTAGTCGGGCGTCTCCTTCCACGATTGAAACTTCGGGGATTGGACCCTGACACGGTTTACCACGTGGAGGAACTTTGCCCTGGGACAGTTGTGCGGAACGCTGACACAGGCGCGATGGACCATGCACCCACGGGCGTGTACCAGTATGGAGCGCCATTGACGATGACAGGACGTACAATGCAGAATGCGGGGCTGCCCGTGAAGTTTTTGTTTGATGCAGATTCTGTTTTGTTTGAATTGAAGGCAGATGTTTTGATGTCGCAAGCGAGGGCCATGGCCGAAATCACGATATAAGGAAACTGTGAATAGAAGCCACACAGCGTGGTTTATTTCAACATAGAGTGGTAAAAGAGAGGTCATTGACATTTGTTTTGGGCTTTTTACGTAGACATGGTACCATACGACCTTTCCCTTTGAAGTTCACTCGGACGGAAGCGATGAATAACGGTCGTGTCGAGACTGGGGGTGTACGACGGGGAGCAGGGTGGACATAAAGTACAGGAGCTACGGGAAGACGGGCGAGGAGGGCATGTGATGCCTTAATGGTGGGTTAGCCTGGAGACATTTAACAGTATCATACACGTGTACAGCATACTAAAGATTTCTTTATAAGAACGATTTGATTGGGTCTTGGTCTATCGAAATGACAAATTGCCATCGACCACGTGTCCAAGGGCATGTCACGGAAATGGCTGTGCGTCTGAACGAACAAATGAAAGGTCAACGTCATCACTTCTGTACAGACATCGGACGGTCGGATACGGGAAGGCGCGCTCTCCTTAACGAGGACACCCCACTCTTTCGAATTTCCTGAGCAGGGACGTAACGCTCCCTCGCAATCACACCGCGTCGCTTGCATCTCCCTCTTCACAGCGTCGCCGGAAGGCCTTGTCGCGTGTCTCTTGAGTCTGTCGCCAACTAGGTGCAATGGGGAAGCGGAAGCGTGCCACCAAGCCCCCGCCAAAGAAGAAGGCCGCCAAGCTGGAGAAGATTTTCGACTGCCCGTTTTGTGGCCACGAAAAAACCGTCGACGTCGCCATCGAGAGAGATATCAATGTAGGCAAGGTTGAATGTCGCGTCTGCGGTGTCAAATTTTCCGCCTTGATAAACCGTCTCGAAGAGGAGATCGACGTCTACTCCAAATGGATTGATGCATGTGAAGCAGCAAACCGGGATCCAAACGAACTCCCGGAACCCAAGGAAGAGACGAAACCAGAGGATCATCTTCCGCCGGCTGTCGATGATGACCTTGAAGCCGACGCGGAGGACGACCTCATTTAATATGTTCACAACTACCAGTGTACTTATGTCTACTCAGCTTTCGTATATAGCGATGGATTTCTGCACGGCCGGATGCATGCGTTGTGAGGCGCCCTTTTTGAACCGAATCTGCCGCCCCGATACCGCCCACAGCACATAGGTTTTACCAGCGACACTTACGTTCCTAGCTCATTTTGCACACTGCTACTGAGAGCACTTCCGCCGCATTCGACCTGCAATTTTCCCTGTCGCAACTTCGTCAGAACATTTTGCAAGAGCGCGTAAATTTCATTTCGAGCCGTCTCGATAAACACCGCCTCTCGCTTTGCATGCGCGTTCACCGTATACGCAAGGTCCAGTCGTCGCCGTAGCTCCGCCTTGAGCGCATCCACGAGTTGTACCTGTTGCTCCTTGGCAAGCGTCGACGTACGCATCACCTTTAATAGTTGCGCGTCCGCTTCACATTCAAGCATCTTGTCGTGGAGATCGCCCCGCGCGTCTTTAATTGCACCTGCGCTCAGTCGTACCGCATGAGCAAGGGTGTGGTTTTGAGCGTCCCAGAATCGTTTCTGGCTGTAAAGCTCCTCATTCTCTGAGCGGAGCCGCTTCACTTGGTACATCGCTCTCTTGTGTTTGAAAGAATCTAAATAATTCTTGAGTTTCGCGTTGTACGCTCGCACTTTCAAAGCATCAGCGCGTTGCTTCGCCATGACTTTTCTCGCTTCTTCCACTTTTTCGCCATACTCTAGTAGTCCATTCTGTTCGTATGGCCTCTTCTTCTGCTCCAATTGAGCTTTCAATGAGGCCAGTTCCTTTTCGCGCAGTTGGAGCAAAGACTTCAGCTCTTGCAGAACATCAGCATTCGGCTTGTGGTCCAATAAGTCGCAGTATTTTTGGCGCTGCTGAGGGTAGCAGGCGTCGAACGAGCATTCCCTCTCGATGTCGAGTGGAGATAGGTTTTCGGAGAGCCGAAGCTCTAAAGCATCAACCGTCCGATAGCAATTGAAGACTTCTGACTTGAACCGACTTGCGTCGCAAGTACCGCACTGAGCACATGATAGATCAGAGCAACTCGTGCGGAGTGTTTGCGAGCCGCGTCCGAAGCCTCCAGCGGCACTGCCACTCTCCGCAATATTTTTATAGGCCTGCAAGTCGAAGCCTTCAGCTTTCTGCAACGTTAGGATGGCGTGTGATAGGAAGGAGAGAGCAACCAGAAGCACTCTTGACCGTGCAGAATGCATTTCGTTCTGCAAGATATCTGAGAGTTGCAGCCCAAATGCTGGCACTAAGTTGGGATTATGACGATATGTCAGCTGAGATGCTAGTTGTACAGAAGGTGAAAGGCCTTTTAGTTGTGGTTGGTTCGAGTGCTTCGATAGATGAAGTCGGTATATTCGTCAAATATGATATTGCTGAACCGCTCACAGCTGTTTTTCGACACAAAGGCAATGAGTTTAGAATACTAAAATGCAGTTTGCATTTCGCTGCACCATCCAAATGAAGCAACTGCTGGAAGATTGTCAATATTGAACGGCGTGACAAGGAGGAGACCGGGGGTGGCGAACGGGCTGAATCCCAGACGGGAGCCCTTTTCATCTAAATGAGTCGAAATTATCGAATGGTCATGAGGGACGGTCATTCTATTTTTCATGAGCCGCAGTGAGCAAGTGCCGTTTTCATATCTTGTTTAAAGGCCGATTAAGTTATTTATCTTAAATCGAAAACTTTAAAACAGGACAAAAGTTGAAAGGGCACAAGCATCTACAGTATGTAATGGCATCACATGGATGACGAAATGCATGAATATCTTAGCAGTTCACATTCAGAGGTGCTCCTATGCATCGGCTTTTCATGTATTTGTAAGGCTTTGTCGCGGATGTTGTGGCTATATCTGAGAAACGCCCAGCAAGCACAAGCTAAAGATTCCATCCATGCTGCTTTCCGACTTGCTGCCATGCAACTAGGACGGATGTGGGCAATCTACTGATCGCTGCGGACACATTAATGGCACTTGGAACATTAATGTAGAGGTGTTTACGCTTCAACTGAGCCGCACTGGCCTTCATGTGGTCTCCTATCTCAAGGGGCGACGATGGTGCCCTCCTTCGCTTGAGTAATGAGATAGAATCGTTTGTGCGTTATTCTCGCATTCCATGACATCCGATGAGGGAGCAAAAAAAGAGGGAAAGGAGGCGGAGGGTGGAGTGGAAAAAATAATTCGAATTGCAGAGATTCGAAGGGGACAAGGCAATTGACAGAGTGGAAGTCAGCGCGCAATGACCAGCGAGTTGCCAAATTAAACTAGGTGTTACAGGGGCCAAAGGAAGGGCGCGGGCAATAGATGGCGTTTGAAACGCATTTAGCGATGTTGCTCCGACGCACGCCGAAGCGAAACTTAGGCGATGTTTGTGCGAGACAGTATCAACAGCGCGTATGGCGTCTTTGCGGGCCGTACATCAAGCGTGGATCACGATCCGCAACTGCGGTGAGCGAAAAGCGCGGAGAGATCCGCGGCCATAAGGTTGCGGTTCGAGGGCGCAACGAGGAGCCGGGCAAGACGCAGTTTTGCCAGTCGTGGCTTCTGGGCTTTTACGAAGCCAGTCTGCGAAAAGCAAAAAGTTAGCGAGTTGTGCGCGAGCCGAAGCGAAAGACGCATAGCCTCGAGATATGTATTTAAGTCCGCATTCTGTAAAGGCAGCACCATCGGGGTTCAGATGCAGAGAACTTGAAAAAAAGCCGCTTGGTGACAGTGCCCTCTGACTTTTGCTTTGGCTCCATTTCCGTTTCATACTGCTCGTCTCTCTGCAGTCCATCTATCTAACTAACGCTACAGTTGGCAGATCACGCAGGCCATCATTTTTCTACACGTTGCGGCTCGGGCAGATGATGACTATGTCCGCGTAGAGAGTGACTTATCGTCCCTGGCAGGAAAAGAGGGAGTAGAATTCAAGGGAACTGTGTGTTTGCTTTTTCTTGGAGAAGGTGAGGCATTGCACATAGAGTTGAGAGGTCGTTTTTTTATATGTCATGTTGGACGGTGGGTCAGGTGATATCTGTACAGCCCTTAGATCGATAAATGGTTCTTGAGTAACGCACGTCTCATGTCTGAGCGGCATCTAATGCTCTCAAGACTAGGTTTAAGAAGAGAATGCAGAGAACGACGGAGCAGCACGCATATGATTAGGAAGGAATTTTTGCGCAATGGTCAAAGAATGTGGTCGAGATACGCAGGGCATCGAGACACGGCTGGTGTTTCTTTCGACATCAGCCAACTCCTGGCTAGCAGCGCGAAAAGAGCACCCGACGACGGCGGGAGTCTACGCTGAGTCCCACGTTGAGTAGAGCAATGCGCATGTGTAATCATGTGACTTTATTAATAGGGAAATGATTAATGTTTTTGTGGAAAAGGATATTGTGTGGAGTGCTCTCCGTAATGGCTGAAAGATGGCATTAAAGTGCAGCAACAGTGGGAGTCGGTGTGGGAGGGAGTGATGTTAGGGGACGCGGAGAGATTGGATGTTTGGTGGAGGTGTAGGAAGATGAAGGGATATTGTATTCTCTATTCTGGAAAGGTACCCTTCGAAGGGTACTGTAAAGAAAGAAGTATGATACATTGCAGAATTCTGCAACGTTTTGGTTCATAGATTGATTTACGCTGCCACTCCAATACTGTAACCCGGGAGTATTACAATTTTGTGCGAAGGGGTGGCAGGGCAAAAACAACGTGAGAAAAGTGAAAATAAGAACTCAACAAAACAAACAACTCAACAAACAAAGGCAGATGATGAGTGTTTCCACCGGCAACCGTTCGCCGTCCGCTGTCCACGCCCGCCGTCCGGTATCCGGTATCCGCCATCCGCTATTCGCCGTCCGCCGGATGTTTGGAGCCGACCAATGACAGGCTCAGATATTGGAGATTTTTCTGGCAGGTCGCACTGTGTACATCGGCTAGAGCTAGAGGTACAAACTCTTGTCCGAAAACTTATCTCTTATCGCGTTTCGCACCGTTACCAGTAGCGTATCCCTCCTTCTGCTCCTGTCCAAATGATTACATGATCATCAGCACAGCTTGTACTTTTCGTATCGAGAATCCTTTTCCCTGTCCTACGAAGCTAATCTGTTGCACGTCTACTGAAAATGTACCAACTGTGGTTCAGTCTCTCATTACCAATTACATACAAGGCACAAATTTAGCTCCTGAGTCAGTGTGCGTTTTGGAATCATGACTTCCCCGTAGCCTCTTGGAACGTTTAGCCCTCTGTCTCCTGCTTTCAGATCTGACGCGAATCCCTTTCCTCTTCTGTATCAGCTGGCGAACGTCCCGTATGCACAATATTCCTTCTCGTCCGCAGCAAAGCTCGAGGCTTTCTTTGCATAACTTCATGTGAACCCCTTCGTTGCTGTCTATTAGAGTTCTTTTAAAAGCATTTAGAACTACTGAATGCTCTGCCCCACGATTGCCGATGAAGTGCACAACAAAAATACCATCCTTGAAATGGATCAGTCTTTCGACAGCTTTGCTTGGGGAACAAGACTGCCAATAACCATCAACCTGGCAATGCCGCAGCTCAAAGCCGGGCTCTTCTCTCGTAGCCAAACCCGCCAGTTCATTCTCTAAAAATTTGCTAAGGTCACGAAATTGTCGTCCTGTAAACAATGGTGCATACTTGATTATCTTTTCTGTAAAACATTCGCCCTTTAGTTCGCAAATTGCATTGAATAAAGAATCTTCTGCGCAATTTCCTGTTTTACCCCCCACAAAAACTTTAACATGCGGTTCGATTCTGAATTGCTTTGTTTTTATCGTACTTCCCCGAGCACCAAGACCGCCAACTTGTCGAATGTATCCAGGCTGTTCAGAACCATAGGCATCTAGAGCATCTAAAATCTCAATCCGTGATGGGGCCACCATCGAAAACCGGGAGGAATCTTCGCCGTCGGTTTCAGTGTACCGAGATATGTGGGATAGATCACATAAACGCTGTAATCCGGAAAATCGATCTATTTTGAGACCACACAAGTCAATCTCATGCCATTCGCCATCATCTTGGGATGTTATGTTTTTCCCCTGATTTTTACTCGACCCATAATATCTGCCCGGAGTAAAACCAAGGCTTTCTTGCATTTTTCCAGCATACAATATATATAATACATTCCAACCTCTGGTGTTTTTGGTTTTCCTGTTGATATTGTTTAAGGAAAGACGGTGCACCGCATCACAATCTAGGCTTCGGTTAGGTAGAGCGTCCAACCATTTACAAATGCTTTTCCCCATCAAAGCTAAAAACCGTTCTCTGTCCATTTTCACAAGAG